TGAAAATTTAATGTTTTATTTCAAATTATTTTTAATGTTTTATCGTATTTATGATATTTTTCATGTTTTATCTCACCTTAGCTTATTACTGCCTCACTAAGTTATACTTAGCGCGTGATGATTTTAATGTGTAGGTTCTAATAGCGATACAGACGTGCAGTAATGAGCCTCTCGAGCATTTTTTTGGAGATCGTCTACATTATTAGCATAAGACATCTTTAATGTTACTTTTGACTTGTAGTGGCGTGTATATTTATGTTATCAGTTTGCTTTATCGGTTTTATTTTAAATGGTATGTAATAGTAACTAGGACCATTTTATTTTGATTAAACTAGTTATATTCGTATTTATGAATGATCCATTATTTATGCTAATATATTTTAAATGGTTTTAAAAAAAATTAAATAGTGTTTAATCAATATTATATAATTTATGAAACATCACTAAACTGCCTAATTGCTATCTGAAAATGGATTTGTTTTTGAAGTTTAAATATTAGTTTATGACTTCATTGACTAAGAAAAATGTTTTATAAATTTAAATAGGAATGTTTTAAAACGAAACAAATTTTAAGTATTTATGTTCAGTGAATGTCTGTCAAGTTGATGTGACATTTTTAGCTCATATTTCGAGACGTATACGGGCTATGGGTGTTACAAAATACACTCAGTAGTTAAATAAAAATTATTGTATACTTTAAGTACTTGAATGAAAAATGTTAATTTTACTATGTTTTAAAATTAATTAAACCTTTTATTTAACATTCAATATTAAATTATTTATAAATTGTTTTATTCAAACACAATTATTAATTTTTGAATATTTTATTTGTTACACCCCAATTATGGGGTTAATTTTTTCTTAATTTATTTTGAGAAATAATTTGAAATTTTGATAAATTTTGGGGATTAAATTGTATTTTTTGTTAAATTTATACCCAAATTAGAAAATATCAAAACCTAAAGGACCTATATTGTAATTATACCTTTTTCTTTTGATTGGTTTAAAACCCCCAAAATCCAACATTTTCCACTTTTGGAAATAAGCTTCTCTTTCTCTCTCATAACTTTCCATTTCTAGGAAGTTTAAGCAAAGAGTTTTTAACATCGATCGTTGCTCCAATTGCTACACCTTCTATACCATCGGAGTCTTTGCATCTTCCCGAGTCTAGTGGTGGTCACTTTGTCGTCATAGTCGCCAATGAGAAGAGTGTGATAGAAAGTAAAATTTCTACGAGTCGATATCGAGATTTCTGTCGTTCACCGAGGTGAACCGAGCCTTGTGAGTTCCTTAAAACGCTTCAAAATATTTTTATAAATTTTTTTTTTGTAATTTTTAGCCACCTTAAACTATTCCACACGCTCTCATGTATCATCGCTGCACGTGGGGGATGTTCACTTCCTGGTGGGCTTCTAGAAGCGGGTTAGACACAACCCACTGACATGATCTGACTCGACCGTATTAATCGCCTACATACCCGTCGATCCATTCAGCCCACACCCAAATTTGATCTGGCCCAAATACCAAATCGGCCAGTCAGATCGATCCATCCGAACCAATACAGCGGCACCATTGACTGTACCGTTGATCGTTGCTGATCAACACCGTTGCTCGTCATCGTTTGACCATGCCTTTGACAGTTGGTCACTTATCTTGTGGTTTTTCGATATCTTGAGTCCGATTTTGTAGCCTATTTTGCTTAATTTTGACTCGAAAGCCTTGAATTGAGCCTATTAGTATGAAAAATTCTTAGTACTTTTAGCATTTCAGCTTATTTATTTGGGATTTGATTATGAAATTAATCTGGGATTATATTTTTGTGAATATACCCATAATTCCCCTGACCAAGGGTCGGCATGATCTGTACTTCTCATCCGATAGATCAATAGATTATATGTTCTTCGAGAGTGACTAGTAGGTTATCGTAAATTGTTTAATTAAAGTTTATTATTTATTTTATGTTAGGATTTTGAGTTAGATTTTTTATTCGTAGGGACTAGCACTGCCACAGATCGTGATAGGCAGACCTGAAAGTAGGCTACCATCTCAGACTTCTCAGATCGGTACACGTCTATTCTTATTTGGTATACAATATTGTTTCAAACTATCTGTCTAAATTGTTTTGGAAATTTAAATATTCAGACTTCATGACATCTGTTTTATAACATACTCTGACTTCTTATCTCTGATTTACGTATACTCTGGCATAATCTCTGGTTACCATATTTTGTATCTGATTTTGAAAATGGTATGTTTTAATGTTTTATTAAATTAAAATTTTGTTTTCACTCAAACTCATGCATATTTACTATCATCGGGGGGTATGATTGGAGGAAGTATCTCAGGCCTAGTCTCTGACTTGTAAGATCTTACAGCAAGCACTTTTGCTTTGTACATTGACTAAGACCTTACCGCAAGTTCCTATGCTTTATGCACAGGGTAAGTCCTTACCGCAGGCCTTTATGCTATGAGTATAAGATCCTTACCAGGCGTACATGTTGGTGTATGGTTCAGGGGAACCTACACGTTCTGGTGGTTGAAAGGGAAAAGTGTTCATGTTTTAAAGAGCCTGTTTTTATATAAAAAACTTCTACCAAAATATTTTATCAATATGTTTTATATATCGTAAGGAGCACACTGGGATTTTTAGCTCATTTTTTAATATTTAACTTTTTATTTACTATCTGACAGTAGGCTAGCAGACTTGGCATCAGAATGACCGATATCTTCTCATTTTTATATCACCGTATATTTATGTATGTCCCTTTGTGTTATACTTTGGTGACATATATTTTTATTGTACTCAGTATGTATATGTATACTGATATTTTTGTCCTGACTATGTTTCCATAAGGACTTCTAATGATATGTATATATATTTACCATTATATATTTCATATTTTACCGTCAATCGTATTTATTTACTGAAATAGATTTCAAGTACATTTTGAATCTAATAATAATCTCTGAATATGATATGTGACAGTCTAGATTTGGGACCGTCTAGGCTGAGTCTAAGGGGTTACATTTGGTGGTATTAGAGCTTTCAGTTTGAAACACTCGGATTGTGGATGTGTCCAAATACTGTATTTTCATAAAGATATTTTTTGAAATTTACAAACATCGTGTCACCTTATTTTACGATTTTTAAATAGATTCGAGAATTCTGATTTCAGTCTAACTTTGGTTAAATTTTTTTATGCCTATTAGATCTAATAAGATGAGTGTCCGAGGTCGTAGAACAGGCCGTAACCGGGGTCATGGGTGAACGGCCTAACCTTTGTTTATGTAGAGGACCCATTGTTAGTTAGAGATCCTCTTGTTCCTTGTGTTCATCCATATACTTCCCGAGAGGATCCGGTTACACTATGAGAGATCCTCTCGTTACTGAGAATGTGTATGCTGAGATGGATCAGGTGCCATAGACAGAGCTATTTACCGTATGTTTTCAGATAACAGCTATAGCTCCTGCTAATATGTTTGATGTGGATATATTTACGTCACTGGTATGGTTGTTAGAGTGGTTCCGTTTAAAGGCATTATTGGAGGACCTTCGACAGATGTTGAGTACTGTTGGAATATACTGAGAGGATTATGGATGAGATGGTTCTAAGGCTTGAGTAGAAGTTGAAGGGAGCACTAGCTTTTCTTAAGAATGAAGGAATAAGATAGTGGAATTCAATTTTCTGGAGTATCCTGAGGGATCAATTGACTTGGGATCTTTTTAAGGGATGTTTTCAAAGTCCCTAAATCAGAGAAAGGTACTTATAGAGCGACATAAGAAGTTTCAGAGTTTAGATCAGGGTGATATGTCTCTTATGGATTATGAGATCAAGTTTATTAGACTGAATTAATATGCTTTGGGTTTGGTGGACAACGAGGTGGATCTGTGCCTAAGGTTTGAAAATGGACTGAGGTATGAGATCAAGGATCAGATTGCTACTCACTAGGAGAAAAATTTTGATACCTTGGTAGATGTAGCCAAGATTGCTAAGGAGATGGAACGAGTGAACATAGACTGTATGGGGGATAGAGACCGAGATAGAGATAGAAACTAATTCAGGGGATCTTCTGGTTCTGGAGATGTTTTTTGCGTCCTCGCAAGAGAAATAGGGACGAGTCTTCTCAGAAAGGTAGTATGAGTTCCAGACCTGCAGCATTGGTCACTCCGATAATTTCCGCTTCTAGTCAGGGTGGTTTTCCTAGAGTACCATCTCTACCCACGTTGAGTATTGTGGGAGGCATCATTTTGGAGAGTATAGGAAGAAGATGGGTACTTGTTTAAATATGGGTCCGACGACCATTTCTTGAGGGATTATCCAGGTTAACTCCCACCGTTCAGACACCAGTTCAAACTCCCGCTCGTACTTTGAGTACAATTCATACACTAGCTTGGGGTCATAGTTAGTAGAGAGCATATGGGTCTGTTAGTAGGGATTAACCTTCTCAGAGTAGGGGTACAACTCGGACTGAGGCCAGACAGCCTGGGTTGGTATATGCTTTCAGACATCGACATGATCGCGATGAGCCTGATGTGATTGCAGGTACCGTCACTATTTATTTAGTTTCATACTTTGCTTTATTTGATCCTAGTTCTACCTATTCCTTCGTATCATATTTTGTATTTGGAGGTTTCAATATTCCGATTGAGAATACCTAGAGTTATGTGACAATTCATATTTCCATAGGCCAGTCCGTAGAGTTGGAATGAGTTTATAGATTTCAAGGTTCTATTATCGTATTTGTTCAAACTAGGTAAGTTTCGAGGACAAATTTTTTTAAAGGGGGTGAGTTGTCGCACCCTAATTTCGGGGCCAATTGTTTTTATTTATTCTGAGAATTAATTTGAAATTTTGATAAATTTTAGGGACTAAATTGTATTTTCACTAAATTTATACCTAAATTAAAAAGTATCGAAACTTGAAGGACGTATAGTGTAATTATACTTTTTTAATGGTTTTAACCCCAAAATCCAACATTTTCCATTTTTGGAAATCAACTTCTCTCTCTCATAACTTTCTATTTCTAGAAAAGTTTAAGCAAAGAGTTTTTACCGTCGATTTCATCGTCGATCATTGCTCTGGTTATTAAACCGCCTATACTGATATTTTTGTTCTGATCACGTTTCTATAAGGACTTCTGATGATATGTATATATATTTACGTATGTATTTTCATATTTTACCATTAATTATATTTATTTACTGAAATGGATTTTAAGTAAGTTTTGAATCTTAAAATGATCTCTGAATAAGATATGTGACCGTCTAGATTCAGGCCTACTGTCTAAGCCAGGTCTAGGTGTTACATTATTTGTCAACTATTATGTTTCAATATTTTTAATATATAATATATATAGTCTATAAAAATAGAATAAATCTCGTTACAAAATGATGATGTTTTTTCTCTCGATGAATACAATATACTTGTACATGGTCCACAATTGCGTTTTGAGATATACGAAATAAATTTAGAAAATAAAAAATAAAAGAGAAGAACTACTGAATTATTGTTTTAAATTTAGAAATTTACATAATTGTACATGGTTGAAAATTAAATAATAATAATAATAATAATAATAATAATAATAATAGTAGTAGTAGTAGTAGTTGTTGTAGAAGTAGAAGGGATAGAGTCCATTCACGGTGTATAACTATAAATTTTATATGAATTTTTAAATTATCAAATTAACTGAATTTAAAGATTAAAAATATCTTCATTTATCACTATTAATTTTAATTATCTTTTTGACTTATCTAATAATTTAAGAAACATATACTTTTTTATTCATTTAGGATAAATACAAAACAATATTTATTCATAGATAACTCTTTATCATTTGACATTAAACGCTCACACCCCTGACATTCCTGAATCTCGAACCTGGACATCAGATAATAACAACAATTTATTTACCTGAAAAACATATACAAGTTTTATATTTTATTTCTGATCTTATCTCATAGAGAGATAATTAGATGAAACATAAATTCTCTAAAAATAATAATAATAAAAATTCAAAATGAGTCCAGGTGCTATACTACTCAACAAACAAGCCCATCTATGTAGGTAAAATCTGGCTTTCTTCCAAGGTCCATTTTAATACTGTAGATTAGGGCTTGATTTACTAATTCATGGCAGAAGAGTTCTAGGGTTTTTCACCACTTTCCAAAATCAAAGCTCAACTCTTTCTCTTGTCACTGCCTTCCTTTCAGTCTCTTCTCCAAAACCCCATTTATCTAACTCTCTCAACAAAATGCGGCCACTGACGTCTCTGCAACTCCGTCGGCTTCTTCACCGTTGCATCTCTTCGCCTTCTGCGTTTCAACCCCACACTTTGCTCTATCCGAAACCTTATTTTACGCCAACCCATTCCCCCAAATTATCATTTCTAATCTCTAAATCCTTCTCAACCCAAAATCTTAATCCCCAACCCCGGATCCTGTTGCTTTATCCCTTTCGGCTGAGCTCCTCAATGACCCTTCTTTAGATCCTCTCGCGATCACCCCAAGGCTGCAGCTTCACTTCTCTCATATCAAGCCAACCCCTTTGTTGATCTCCCAGACCCTCAATCTCTCCCCTGAAGCTGGCCGAACTGTTTTAGGGTTTCACGATTGGGTTCTATCGGACCCCGATTTCAACCACACCGATGAAACGCTTTCGTTTTTCATTGATTACTTCGGTCGAAGGAAAGATTTCAAAGCTGCCCATGATCTACTCGTCAGTCAGAAATCTGTCGCGGGTCCTAAAACTCTTAAATCATCCATTCATAGGCTGGTTCGTGCTGGCAGGCCAACTCAAGTTCTGGGTTTTTTCGAGAGAATGGAGAAGGATATGGGTTCAAAAGAGATAAAGAATCACTGAGGCTGGTAGTGGAGAAATTGTGTGGACATGGGTATGCAAGTTATGCTGAGAAGATGGTGAAAGACACTGCCAATGAAATATTCCCGGACGAGATGATATGTGATTTATTGATCAAAGGTTGGTGTGTTGATGGGAAGCTTGAGGAGGCCAGAAGATTAGCTGGGGAAATGTATAGGGGTGGTTTTGAGATTGGTGCGATGGCGTATAATGCAATGCTCGATTGTGTTTGTAAGCTTTGTAGGGAAAAAGATCCATTTCGGCTTCATTCGGAAGCTGAGAAAGTTCTGCTTGATATGGACTATTATGGGGTTCCAAGAAATGTTGAGACTTTTAATGTGTTGCTTGATAATCTTTGTAAAATTAGGAAAACTGAAGATGCGATGAAGTTGTTTTTTAGGATGGGGGAATGGGGTTGTTGTCCGAATGCTGATAGCTACTTGATTATGATTCGCAGTCTGTATCAGGCTGCTCGAGTTGATGAAGGCGATGAGATGATTGACGGGATGAAATCTTCTGGCTTTGGTGATCTGCTTGGCAAGAAAGAATATTACGGCTTTCTGAAGATTTTGAGTGGGATTGAGAGGATTGAGCATGCCATGAGTGTTTTTAAGAAGATGAAGGCTGATGGGTGTAAACCTGGCATTAAGACGTATGATTTGTTAATGGGGAAATGGTGTGCTCATAACCGACTTGATCGAGCCAATGCTCTTTATAATGAAGCTCTGAAAAACGGGGTGCCCGTGGAACCTAAGCCCTATCGTGTTGATTCAAGATATATGAAGAAAACCAAAGCTGTGAAGAAGGAGAAGAAGAGGGAGACTTTTTCTGAGAAAATGGCTCGAAAGAGGAGATGCCTTAAGAAAATTCGACTAAGTTTTGTAAAGAAGAGTAGAGGGAGGATGCGCAGTGCCTAAATTTACCTTGTTACTTACAGAAAATGTAAGTGGAATGAAAATTTCAATTGGAATCTGAGCTTCTTTTCTGATTTTTGGTCATGTGTTCATTTTGTTGTGAAATGCACTTTTACTTTGCAAGAATCTTTCAAAGAGAATAGCTGGAAAAATTGTGGATGCATATATAGGTCAGTTTGATCCTAGGACGTTGTCTCTTTCTAATCTTTACCAGTTACCGAAAGGTGTTGTGCGATCCTGCAATGGAAATTAGACATAAATTCACCCTCCTATCAGTCATGTTTGAAATAGGTTTGAGTTATGCAACTTTGTCCCTCATCAATGTACCTGGAAATGGAAATTAGACTGAAACTTTGACATCCTATTGATTGCGTTTTTCTTAATTATGATTCATTGAGTTTGGTCAGCTGAATCATAAGAAGTTTAATTTCAAGTGTGCTATTGTCAGGTCTTTTTTGCAGACCTGCTTTTGGCTTCTACTTGAATTAAGGTAGTGCTGCGCTACCAGTCTACCAGGAAATGAAAAATAGACTGAAATCTTCATCATCCTATTGATTCTGTTATCCCTTATTTTTTATGATGTGTTGAGCCTGGCCTAATGAATCATAGGAAGGTTAATTGCGAGTGTGTTTGTCACCAGGCCTTTTTATTCACCTTCTTTTGTCTTCTATTTGAAATAGATTTAAGTTTGGTCTTTTTCACAAGCCTGTTTTTGGTATTCTGTTAATAGACTGGTGTGATGTTGGAAAATGACCAGTCTTAAGAGATTGTAAAGATAAGCACATCATAGTTCCTTTATATGATTAAAAAAACATTGAAATTAGGCCAGGTTGGGTGATAAAGAGCGTGTATAGTAAATGAAAAAAAATGAAATGGGGGCAATATGATAATTATATGTTGCCGAGGCGGTACCTTTCTGTAATATTAGTAAACGACTGAGTTGATGGCCTTTTTTTTTTGGGGGGGGGGGGGGGGGGGAGATTGCAGAGCCTTTAAAAAGTAGAAAACTATTTGAGCGGGCCAGTGCACTGGAGCTGATGTTCCGAGGTGCACCTGTGCTGGTTTGATCAGTATATAGCTCATACAAGTGGAATGATTGATTTTGTCTTAAATCAATATGTAGAGATCATCCCATTTGCTCAGGATTTCCCTTCCAGAATCGAACAGATCTGTCAATCACACTGGATATGAAGGCAGCCTCTCTTGGTGAGTGCTCATCCCAGTGAGCTCCACCATTATGTTCTTTTGGAGGAAGAAAGGGTGAGGGTGAGGGTGAGGGTGAGGGTGTGGGATATGGGTACAGACGACATATTAATATTTTGTTTGCACAATGACACAATCTATGTAAGTCGCCCTGTTAAGAGTTGGCTGTTAGCTGGTTAGAGGTTTTAGTTTTAGGTAATCCACGTAGTTAGTCATCCACCTATTTCCGCATTTTTGTTATTTTGTTTTTAAAATCATATATAATATTACGTTTTTGTTTCGTTTTGTCATCCGTCGGTGAAAAATTAATAGTGATATTGATTTGTCATCATATAATAATCTCATACTATTATTGAGAAATATAAAAAAATTGCCATGTAAGTAGTTTAGTTTATTTTTTTTAATGGCGGGTGACCAAGAAATAATATTACGTGTGATTTTAGAAAAAAACTAGTCGTTTAGAGTTGGGGTAAAGTTATAAATAGGGGTTTGGGGTTTTGGTATTTTTCCAAACCTTGAATCTGAAAGAATTTGAAAAAAACATACGTTGTGCGAAAATCTCAAAAAATGTCAACCCGATAATATATGTTGCTTATAGATAATGTCCATGTTTCGTTGGCCCAACGCGGGTCGGAGGACAAATAGAGTATTCGTAGTCGGGGGATGACACCCAGAGAGCTGCATCAGTGGATGATGGTATATCTGCATCAATCTGGTCTATTTCCGGTCATATTTTTACGTGGTTTCAAGGTGAACTTGCGTTGATCGAGGCTCTGATCGAACGTTGGTGCCTCGAGACACATTCGTTCCACTTCTCGAGTGGTGAAGTGACGATTACTCTACAAGATGTCGCTTACCAACTCAGTGTTTCGATGAATGGAGCCCTCATCGTGAGTCATAACTTTTACGACTCCGCGACGTTGATCCTCCAAGTATTGGGAAAATGGCCACCATCCGAATTTATAGTGGCTATAGAGTAATGATAATGTGGTTGGAGCCCGAATTCCAAGTCACAGACAAGTCTATCGAGGAGGATGTTTTCGCTTCTCGAGCGTTTCTTCTCCCAGTGATCGGAGGGATATTATAACCTAGCAAATCCGGTAATTTGGAGCACACCCAATATCTACGATATTTGGAAGACTTCGTTATGTGCTGGAATACCAGTTAGGGCTCGATGATTTTGGCATTTCTTTATCGGGAGCTTTGCAAGGCTGCAACTGTCCAGTGTGGTCGAAAAGCCGGTGTAGTAGGATGTCTGTTACTATTACATTTTTGGGCCTGGTATCACTTGTCGTTTTTTACGCCGATTACAGACGCTCCTATCGAGTTTCCTCTGGCTGCAAGGTAATTGTCTAACTTTATTTATTTAACTTATTTTTAATCTCAAATTTTTTTTGTAACAACGTTCTCTATATAGGTAGTGACGTCAAATCTTGAGAGCGAACACTACAGCAACCATTTCCAAGTCATGAGTTGGATAGTTCTTTTCACGAGGTTTTAACTGTCTCGATGCATATGCTACCACTTTCCCCTATTGCATTAATACACATCCCAACCCATTATGGGGCGCATCACTGAATACCACAAAATTCTTGCCAGATTCAGGTTGAACCAATACAGGAGTTTCTGTTAAAATACTCTTTAACGCTTCAAAATTTTTTTGACACTTCGGAGTCCAAACAAATGATACGTTCTTTCTCATCAACTTGGTTAAAGGTAGAACTATCATCGAAAAATTCTTAACAAATCTTCGATAATAACCTGCAAGCCCAAGAAAACTCTGAACTTCAGACACATTCTTTGGAATTTCCCAATCCATTATGGCATTTATCTTGTGAGGGTCCACCCGAATCCCATCTGCAGAGATCACATGCCCCAGGAAAATTACTTCATTTAACCAAAACTCGCATTTGGACAATTTGGCATAAAGCTTTTATCTCTTAAAATTTGCAAAACTATCATCAAATGTGCGCTATGCTCTTAATTGGATTTCGAGTATACCAATATGTCATCAGTAAAGACAACTACAAATTGGTCCAAGTAGGGTTGAAATATCATGTTCATGAGGTCCATGAAAGCAGCAGGTGCATTTGTTACTCCAAATGGCATTACGATGAACTCGTAGTGATCATATCTCGTTCTAAAAGCGGTATTCGGAATGTCTTTCTCCTTAATCTTCAATTAATGATAACCATAACGTAAATCAATCTTTGAAAATACCGAAGCTCCATTTAACTGATCAAACAAGTTATCAATTTCTCGAAGAGGATTCTTGTTCTTGATGGTCACCTTATTGAGCTGTCGATAATCAATGCAGAGACGCATTGAACCATCATTCTTCTTAACAAATAATACTATAGCTCCCCGAGGCGACACACTTGGTCGAATAAACCCCTTCTCTAGCAACTCTTGCAATTGATTCTTCAACTCTTGCAATTCTTTCGGAGCCATACGATAAGGTGACATTGCAATAGGAGTTGTTCGGCATCACTTCAATTTGAAATTCTACCTCTCTATCTGGAGTTAATCCTGGTAACTTCACAGGGAAAACATCAGGGAATTCTCGGACTGGTTGTGCAGTTGAGCATAACTTAGGATGTGCAGAGGATTCAGACTGGTTCCTTCCTCTACCTTTTCCTCGTCCTCTTTGTGAGGAATAAACAATTATCTCGGATGGTGCAGACTCACCAACTATCAACGAACAATCTCGAATAAAATGTTCGGCATCTCCGCATCGAAAACAAGCTCCGGAAGCCATCCGACATATCCCAAAATTATTTTTTCCACAATGCTGACACTGTCTTATTTGGCCCTGATTGGATTTCCCAGCACTAGATCCCACCGACTGCGTCTGTCGAGCTCTCATCTGACTTGCTCCTCTAGCAGAAGATGCAACAGATTCAGACCTAGCTTGAGGTTGGATTCCCGAATCTCTTCATTTTTTGGTGGTGCTGAGCTTAAAGAAACACTCGTTCTCTTCGAATTCTAAACTATTTGATCCCCAAATCTTTCATTCTGACCTATCTCAAGAGCTTTAGCACAATTAATCACCTCCTGGAATGAGGACAAGTTCAGTACTATCAACATCTCGTTCAATCTAGGGCGTAAGCCATCCACAAACCATTCACAAGCATCTTTCTCTGTAGGAACAAGCTCAGTTGCAAATCGACTCAGCTTATTGAACTCACACTCGTATTCATATACGGAGTGATTCATCTGCTTCAAGTTTATAAACTCTGCTTCATTTGCCGGATAAACTGATCTCCAATATACTTGTGCTTAAACTCTTTCAAGAACAGAGACCAAGTCAACTGGTCACTTGACATCCTCATGGTGACGTTCGTCCACCATATCCTCACTTGTCCCCTTAGTAAAGACGCAACTCCATCTAACTTCTTCACTTCAGAGCAGTGTAGACCATCTAGCATGATTTTCAAATCATTTAGCCAGAGATTTGTCGCAACCGAACCTTCTTCGACTTCTCCCTTAAATTCAGAAACTCTTAATCCTCTCAACTCTTTCGCTATATTCATTCTTGGAGTTGATGGAGCAGGAGGTTGGAGACGCGTCAGAATAACGTCCAACGTCCTGAAGAATTTGTCCTGATCTTGCATAGGCATTTCCTGAGATGTCTGTCCTTTACCTTGCCTGGCCAAGGTAGGTGAATTACTGCTTTCAGCGGGCCTATCCTCTCCCGCTTCACTTTGGGAGCTAATATGTCCGGACATCTAATAAAATAAACATATCATTCTATTAGCAAGACAACATACTCATTTCTATATCAAATCAGAAGTTCTCACTATATGTTGGCATGTATTCATTAAAATACACTCTAAACTCTGGTTTATGCCTAGAATCGGCTAAACCATAGCTCTGATACTATTAAATGTAACACCCTCAACCCGTATCCGAGCCGATACGAATCTGAGGTGTCACATTGACTTTTTAAAACAATATACTTATACAAATTAATAAAATATTTAGACTTATATTAAGAAAATACGATATTTTACATAGGTTTATACAAGGTTCACAAATAAAATACTCAGAGCATGTACAACTTAAACCTTGGATTACATGCCAACATTTATTTACATAACAAAATGATCTACTGTTTAACTTGTTTCTGATATGATAGTTGTAGGAGTAATGTTGTCCCAGCTGTCTAATCTTGCTCGTCTTCTTGCTCGGATCCTACATGTGAAACACTCACACACTAAGTCATCGACTTAGTGAGGCATGATATGTAATAATATTATAATGAAATAAAATATAAAGCATCCATGCAATGCAACTTATTTACTCATGTAATTCACATATAAACTTATCAGTGTAACAATTATGAATTCATATTAATTCATTCATTAGACCATGATACAATATTGAGAACTAAGGTATGTGAATACAATGAGGTTGTGCACTATGCTGTCACAACAGCTCGTATAAATGCACCGAAGTGCCACATAGAATTGCACCGAAGTGCTGTGTAAAAATGCACCAAAGTGCCAGATAAGATGTCTATAAGGACCACATAGAAATTCTTAAGAATCATATACATATTCCAATGACCAAGTATATGTCTCAAAGGACCTCATAAATGTTCCAAGTGATACATATATGTCCCAAATGACCGCTTAGACCCTCGACTCTTGACATGCCAATTATACCTATAGCTCTCATTTACATAACATGGGATTTTACATTTCACGTAGTTTATATCTCATAGAAAATAAATACTTACATTTATCACATGGCTCATGTAAACTTTGCATACATATTCACATAGATCCTTATCATATAATACATATAATATGAATTCATATCATGTATCATATTATGAAATGCAAACATGTACTAATGGTATTGGAACTAGACACATCACAAGTCTAAAGCTGAATATGATACTATAATCATCCTATGCATATGCACTCACCTATATCTCTTTGTCTTTCCCTCGATAGATTTTACTTGTCAATTGTTTCGGAACTCGTTTAGGCTCAGTATCTATATGAATATAATTTCCAAAACAATTATCAGAACATAAACATTTTAACTCAATTCTTAACTATTTAATGAACAAAATTTCCATTTTTCCCCTAAGTGGTATCGGTACCCCTATGTATGGTACCGATACTTCTCTTTAGAAGGGTATCGATACACTACTGGTATCGGTACCCAAATTAAGTTCAATATTTTCAGGTATTAACATATGTATGATGGTATCGATACCTCATGAAGATGTTCTTAAAATTTGGTCTTAAGGTATTGGTACATGTTCATAGAGTACCGGTACCCCTTGTCCAGAACATGTTTTTTCACCCGAAAATTCATCAACTTTTCACTAAATTTCATCATATAAAGCTCTTGTCATACCACCAAACTCAACTACAACCATTTTAATTAACTTATATCATTCCAACACCTTATTATCTCCCATATTTCATCCAAATTCTTAAAACTAAGAATCTTACTAAATTTTCCATGTAATCCAAACTCAGTTTCAACACTTGTTATTTCTTATTCACCCTTATGGTAAGTCAAATTCAGCTCCTAAACTCATTTAAACATTCTTATTCAAATTTTCACTTATGCACTTCTTACATTTAATCATCCATAACTTACAATTCTTTGAGTTTCTAAGTCCCCTTTTATCTCCATCATCTTTCCTAAGGATTCATTAATCAAAACCTCACTTGAATCTTAAGGATTAACTAAAGAAAAACCAACTTACCTTAGCTTGTATGCTTCACGGTCGAATAAGAAGAAGGTTGAAGAAGAGAAGTCTGGAAACCTTTGTTTCCCACAATATGATCCATGTGGGTTATAAAATAACCACACTAATATTTAATTACTTCCCCTTGCTTAAATGATCTATTTCCCCTTTATTTCTCCTTCATTTATTAAATCATCCTACACAAAATATTTTAATTAAGTCCTTAAACTTTTCAATTTATCTAGCTTGGTCACTAAATTTTAAAATCTCACAATTTGGTCACTAACAAGATATTGAGGATGTTACATTTTTATTTGTTTATAATTTTTTTTTATTTTTAAATATTTTAGATGACATCATAAAATAACATAGACGAAGTTGGCGGGTGCCAATGCGCGAGACATACAGATGCGAATCGACATCGCCAGTCGATTCGCGATATGACATATGTTGTTTTTATTATTTTTTTAACTTTGATATTTAACATTTACAGTTCTGTTGGCTTCCGTATGTTGACGAGGAGATCAACCTCATATTGCCAGCGCGATTTTTAGAGGGGTTCCACTTATGGTGTGTAGTGACGCCGTCATTACACCAAACGATTATTGAGTGGCACGCGACTGATAGAGTGATGCGCCGATTTACGGTGCACCAATCGTTTCTCACAGAAATCGCGATTGATATGGACGCGCTCCATATAATCGATACGCGTGGGAAACATGATGAAAATTGGTTGGGACGACACACTTACTATATCGACCTATGGAATCAGCGTGAACTATCTCTCCCCCATCGTCAGGACATTACACAACTGGACTTAGATTTCGACCATTCTCACTATCTCAGATTTATGAACAAAATGGAAAACCATATCTTAATACACTAGAAGAGAGGGCAGAATGACAACATCACTAGACCCCACACGCTAAGTCCAAGTCCAAGAAGAAAACATCATTGTCGTCTTCTTCCACTTTAGCATCTACGACTGAAGAATACTATTACGCATTGAGGCTAGTTTTGGTTTCAATCTTCATTTCATACTTCACCCGAGACTCGACCGAATTGAGTTGGAGGTTCATAGGATACAGCGTAATAAACTCAAGCATTTTTTACAAACATGCAGTTGTAGGTAAGTAAGACCATATCTTATATGGTCACCAAAGTCAAGTCGAAGTAGTTATGATGATGATAACTTTAAATGTCATAAATCCATCATTGTCTTTTGAATGTGGATCACAGAGTGTGTTGGGTACACCTCCTCGGCAAGACTACGACGACACTGATCAATGTCTATGAACCCGACGTACTCGACGAGCCTCACGACATTATCATTCGACCATTGACCATTTTGCTACATCATCAAGAACTTAGAAGACATATAAATTGATTTTTACTTTGTAATTTTCATGTAAAAAATTATTTATTTATTTATTTACTTTGTATTTTTTAACATTTAAATAAATATTATTTTTTTTAATTTTATTTTTTTAAAATTATCCCCATTGTACAACGACTAGCCAACGACTACTTTTTTTTGAATTCGAAGGAACTTGTCACCTCGACGTGATGAGTTCCATCATTTTTTTATAATTTTTTTAAAATTTAAAAAATATATTTTTTAATTGTCTCGTCACTTCGGCGTGATGAGTCATTATATCACCAATTTAATAATAGCCCAGGTAGGGCCCACTATGAAGTGACCATTAAAAAATAATATGAAGGAACTCATCACCTTGAGGTGATGAGTTTCGGGAGCACTGTAGCAATGTCGTAGTTTTTTTAAAATAAAATTTAGGTAGACCCAATACACTAAGGGTGTGTTTGGTTCGCGGAATCTTACATTACCAAGGGGAATATTTTTCCAAAATTGTATTCCCACGTTTGGTTCACGAAATCTTACATTACCGGGAATAATCTTTTCCTAATAGTATCATTTTTGGTTAAAATGGTAAGAATTTCATTACTTCCAAATTCTTAGGTAATCTTACATTCCCACTGTAACACTCATCTCTCGTATACCTTTCCGTACACGAGATACAGATGTCAGATCACTTCTAAAATATTTCCTCTTTTAAAAGCACGTAAAATTTTGTTTTTAAATTTTCTTAAAACATAACATTTTTAATATAAAGCAAACCATTAGTTGAAATATGTTACTAGGTTATACTTAAATACAATTCAGAGCATGCCAACAAATTTTTTCCAAAGCAAACCAAATTGTCCTATAGTTACTGATGAGTCAACCTTAATTAATGATAGTTGTTGCTACTGCTGCACTCCTTACTCGACTAATCTCTGCCTTTAACTATGCGTGAAATCAACTCACGTTAAATACTTATTCAGTGAGATATAGTATTATAAAGAAACATTTCTATATACATAAGTATATCATGTTTATTTGGTTACGAACTACTTCGTATCATCCATAAGGATTATATAAGTCCCTATTATTTAAACCAAATTTCTTTCATACCATCTTTGTAAACATTCTTAGTATGTCCAACATACATTTCTTTATGAACATTTCCCCATTAT